GATGATTACGGTAGTGGCTGATCTGCGAGGAAATGTTACGCGCGCCGCTCATTGAACCCAGCTCATACACGCAGACATTCATTTTCCATTTTACTTTAAGTCATTGCACCACATCAAATAAATGACATTTTCATTATATAACAACGAGGCGTAATGTTCATTACCTCTCCACTGCGTTACAATGTCCGAGATCCTCGGACGACTTACGTTTGCGAGACTATCGGGATTATAATATTGTATTAGGATGTTTAAAAACGTAACATTTTTTTGTATGGTTGAAATTTTTATGGAAAATAATGTAACGTATATTCGCAGTTTCAAACGATTAATATTTCTGTTATCGGTTGAAGCAACGAAAGCCACTTCCTCTAAGATAAATCTAAAAAATTATTTTCATTTGAGTGTATATGTATACGTAGACGTAGTGAACAAATCATTTAGAGCAATCATTATATATGTTGAGCAATGGAAGGTAGAGAAGGCTCATTCGAATCTCGGGATCTCTCTTGTGGTTTCGGAATTCTCGGACACGACAATGGAACTTCCAGCATGCTCGTCTGCAAATAAAAAAATTTTATTAAGCTTTTTAATATTTATCTCTCAATGATAAGACATGGTAAGTGGACATTGTAACAAACATGAAACCAACATATACGCAATCTTTATAATAATCATTATCACAATCAGTGGATTAAAAATATTAATCGATATACCTTGTTATAGAGAGGAGGAGCATTGTTGCAAGATGCGTAGTCGGGCGGAGTATCATGAACGACTTCGTTGTACGAAGGTGGTCTTCCCGGTAAATCTTCGATAATGCTGCAACGCGTCATGTCACGGTGCTCTTGTAATATGATACCTCTGCATCTAGCAGCTCGTCTTGCTCTGAGCTGCTTTGCCCTAAATCATAAAAATGCATTTAAAGAGCCTTTCAAGATTTTATAAGAGAACAGAACAAACTCACATAATGAGAATCCAATACTTTTACAAAAACCGTACAATAATCAGTATATATAATTTATTTCGATGTAAGATTTTTAAGATTGTTTGTACCTTTAGAATATTATTATTTAGATTTAGGATTTCTCTACGATGAAGATTTCACCTCTTAGACGATATGTAAGAAAAAAATATATTTGAAAGAATAATTCTTTAAAAATTAGTTAATTTATTTAAGGTTTTAAATTTTTGGTAAAATAAACATTGAAAATGATCATATAATGAAAATTGCAATTTTTTTCATTCATGTTATTAGTCGCTGACCTTGTTAATGAGTTAAGATATTCAAGATTGAGAAAAAAAATCAAGATTCAAATGATCGATAACTAATTAAACTATATTTGCCATGTAATATCATTAAATTTAATATATTTACGTTCACTTGCGATCAATGAATAACGATGAAAGAAATTGAAAGGATGAATTTATCGAATGCGCGTTCTTACCTTATTTTGTAACAAATTGCGATCAAGACGCCGAGAATACCAATCCCTAATATTACAAAAATACGAATTTGTACGAATTGTGTAAGTGTCATTATTCGTTTGCTGCGGCCTGTATCTGAAATATTTCCACTTATCAAATTTTTGATTATTAAATTATATTCTATTTTTATTTAATTATATTATTTATATAATTATTTTCTAAAAAAAAGGCATAATATATCGCTAGCATATAAATAACTTGTTAATTTTTACCAGCACAATCGTCGCAAACACAGCATGAAACATTGGAAATGACAGCAAATGACAGAGATAAAGATTAAAAGATCAATTCTATATGAACATTTGATATGAACCGAATTAAGATATGATAAAAAATACAAAAATAAAAAACATTAAATTTGAAATAAATCAAGATTAAAAATTATATATTCTTTATTTAAATATGAGTGTTATAATACCTAAATTCGCAGTTGCATTTATTATTGCAATGCAAAAACATAAGTACCCTAGTAAAAATTCAATGATGTCACGTCTATTTATAGGCAAACAACCAGCTATTCATTATCCAAATTTCATTCGCATTAACATGATTAATGATTACGTGTCTAATATAAAGACATAACAATACACGTAAAAATCATTTCGCGAGAACGGACACATTGCAGTATGAAACAGCACTCAATGCAAATATATTTGTAAATTTCAGAACATTTTAAATCTGATATGACCGTATTAATCTTATCAATACGGATGTCTGATAACACATAACAATTATATCTGTTTTGAACAGAATATATTTATATTTCTTGTATTGATAGTGGCGATGGTCTTCTATGTAATTCTGATGAATTAAATTAATAATGTATCTACCTTTAATAGTATTCTCTCCTACACACATAATATACATATAATATATATATATATATATATATATATATATATATATTTATATATGTAAATGTATATTTATACTTATTACAATTACATTACAACTATCGTTTACTTATAGTAATACATTAGCTTAACGAGTAGTCAGATGAAAATATGAAAACAAAGAAAATAGATGGTACTTAGATATTACAGTATAATCAATAAATAATGCACGAAAAGACTCCCAGGACTTTCAGGATATTTTACAGTGAAATTTAGAGACACGTCAGATTTCGGAACAATTTCTTTTGTACAATTTCAATTAGTTAACGTGATTAGCGCCTCCACTATATCGCCTCTATGTTCTCTCAGAGTCTGTTCGGCTAAGGTACGACTGATCTCCATCTCTCTCATCTGAAAAAGACATATATGAAATTTTTCACAGCTACATCAATTAAAATTCTCAAGAAACGACCGTGTACTCACGATCAAATCAACATCCTCCTTCTTGATAAACACTTTGAGCAACTCCTTCTCTTTGGCCTTCTTCTCCGCAGCTTCCTTGTCACGCCGATCACCGATTATGCTGAGAGCCTGTTAGACATTCCTTTTAATGAAAATCAAGTTAAACACAAATTGGCGGGATCGAGCGGTGCATGCGGCATGGCTAGATCGAGATTATAGGTTATTTAGGATACGAGTGTACTCACGCAGGAAAATCCATCCGACGACGAGATTTCCTTTTCCTCGGCATAATCGGTCACCTTCTCGAGGTCAGCTGCGCCGCTGTCATACTTGGCCGCCTTCTTCTGCGATTTCTCTTGCTGCACGTCGTCCGAGTCCCCATTCACGTCGTCGTCCGCCATCTTTCACGCAACCGTGAATTACGGTGTGAATGATGCACCTTGGTGCAAATCTCACACTCCTACCATAGGGTAATGAATATAACCAATAAGAATAATAATCTATTTCGGTCATCGACATATAGAATAGATCGTGCATTAGAATAGACGCGCACCCGCTGTGAAGTGAGAGAAAGCTACATTGGCGCCCTATGGTTTATCTTTCTTGCTAGCAGGGGGTCAATCATGTAACTTTTCCCCTAGGGCAGAAATGTGAAAAGTTTCATGTGAACTTATGATCATATACGATTTTGCGGGATCATGTAACTCTCTCAAACGTGAAAATGTGAAATTTTTCACGTGAACTTTTTCGCCATGTGGGTCCGCCTTGGTGGAGGAAAGGCGGAAATCTAGGGAATTAATAAATATGCTTCGGAATTAGAGAAGATTAGGGCTGCTTAGGATTAAATGTATGTAGTACATATACAATTGGTTATTAAAAGATGTATATAATACTGCACCAATAAAATAATTTTCATTAACTATAAAACCTATGAAAACTATGTTTCATGATTTCACGCATCCAAGCTATATACATAATCGCTGTACGTGAAAAGTTTCACGTGAAATGTCAAGGTGTGAAAAATGAAAAGTAAAAAGTGAAAAATGAAAAGTGAAAAATTTCACGTAACGTTACATGATTGACCCCAGATCATGGTGAAGATCCTTTGTCCCTTGCCAGTATTCTCGCATAATATATAACATCGATATCTATTCAGTAAACATAATGAAAGACCATAATGATTATGATTATAGTTATATTTAGAAATAAGTTTTATTGGAACCTCTAAACAGAATGGATGTGTCCGAATATTCCGTTTCTATGGAATTTTTTGAATAACGAATTATTTCGAATTTGTTTTCCTATCTGTTCGAATTTTTTCGCATTTCTTCACAAATCATTCATATCGAATCTTTTGGTGATATTTGAGCGTATTGAAGCGTGACTTGTATTGGCTTTAGAGTAAGCCTCGGCTGTTATAAAAGAAGTAAGAAGGAGAATTATTTAAAAATAATGATTTCGAAATATTTTTTGTATAACATTGCTTATAAAAAAATAAAAGATGCGTTTTAAAATTTATTGCTAAATATACGTAATTGTTGATAATATACGTTATGTGAATATATATTAGAATATATTTCAATATTAGCAGTGAATTTTCGAACACATTTAAATATGTTTTTCGATTGTTTACTAAAAAAAGTAGTCTATAGCTTAATTATATTACTATATAATTATTAAAATGTTTTTTTTTGCGTAATATTATTTGTAAAAGAAACGAATGATATAAAACTGTATAGGTAAGTACATTTTATATTGTATAAAAAATATTATAAATATATTTTTAATGTAAAACGAGTTTTTAGTTCATCGATTGATGAATCGCATTAGTCCCGGTCTACAAAAGTGATTTAAGCCTTAAGCCATAAGAAATTGACCAATCATAGAATAATCGATTATTCTCCTATATTCTTCGAGTATGATTTCATTTTTTATGGCTTAATTTATTGTTAAATAAAGATTATGAAAAAGAAAACATGATTGGTTGAATCCACAGGAGAGAGAATCAATTCTGTTTAATCGTTCGGACGTAGGCTATGGTTTATTTAGCATTACAAAAGCTTCGAAGAGTTTTGATTAACCAATCGAAACAAAGAATTCTATGAATTGACCAATCAAAAAATGCTTCGAAACATTTGTAGCACCAAGTGGACTGTACCTGTAATCACTTTATCGGTTTTGAAAGATATCTATTAGATTTGGAAAAAATTAACGGAGACCGACTGGATTTGAACTCGGGATCCCTCGTCTACCAATCCGACACTTGGTCTGCACGACCACGACGGCTCCTCTCTGTTAACTGTTTATATTCCGAATCTCTTTCATGACCGCTTACGGTCGTCTAAATTCTTACAAGTTCTTACAGTTTGAATTTACATTGGGTATGGTTAAGGGTTTACAAATGCTTTGAAGCATTTTTTGATTGGTGCATTAGTAAAATTCTTTGTTTTGATTGGATAATCAAACGCTTCGAAACATTTATAGTGTTATATTAACGATAGCCAATAAGTTATTGACTAGAGAAACTATAGAGTTTTACAAAATACACCATGAAACATTGAATAGCCAATCATACATGACATATTACGTATCACGTCCATAGGTCTTTTCTTTTTTTCAAGTTGACTTGTCTTTCTTCTCCGGCGGATATCCGTCTTCAGATTCGACATGTTCGCAAAGCGGGAAATATTATTGAAAGAAATAAGAAGAGATCGAAATATATTTATTGTAAATTGTGCTGCTAATTTTTCATGTTGAGATGAGCGCGAAATTGAATAGTTTGCTCAGTCAAAAGGACCGAGCGCAATTACGCGAGTTCGTGCAAAAAACATCGACTGAGGAGGTAAGGAAATTTTCGAATGCGGGACGTGAAATCCAGTAGCTATCTAAAACATATCAATGTTAATAGAAAGAATTTTAATAGAAAACTATATTAAAATTTTTAAGAGCATAAACGGTGTTAAACATAATTTATTTTAGCTCACAAAAATAATATCTAACGGAATTGTCAACGCAGACAACAAGATATTGGATGGGATATTGCAAGTGTGTTCCGAATCAGAAAGTTTATATGCCAAGAGACTTAAACTGGTGAAGTCTGCTTTGAAAACCTTGGGCCAAGCTAAAATCTCGATCAGTCATGCGAACGATATTGTGAACCGTATAGTGATAGACTTTCCTGAATATCCAAAGCTGCATCTAGTCCAATTGGTAAACTTTTGTCTCGATAGCATCCGTGACAATGATGATGAGTTTAGAAGGTACAACATTAATTACTTTGTACTGTCAGTGCAATAAGAAAGAAAAGATCTATATTATGGAATGTTTTAGTTGGAAAGATCTATTGCCTGTCCTGTTGGAAATATTGGAGGAGGAAAAATATATAAATCATATGAATAGTGAAGTCTCTGGCTCCAAATATAAGTCTATTATCATTAACAATATATGCAACAGCAAGTGGGAGACAGAGATAATGCCTTCATTGGCAGGAATGTTTAGGTAAATGTTTTTATGTTTCTTGATAAAAAAGAAAAACAAATGATAATGACAAATTGATGGCTTATATTTAGAGACATATCCTTAGAAAAGGAAGATCATAGTACAGTGATTACAGTATTGTGCACGAAATTGCAAGATATATCTCTTGAGGAAGTGCCACCTTTCGTACATCAATCATTAAGATTGTGTACTAATCAGAACAATAAATATCTCTTGGAAGCTTTAAAAAGATATTTTACACTACGCTTTTCGCAAGCTAATTCTGATACTGATACTTTTGAAACTATAGGTAAGGATGTTTATTATATATAATTTATTGTAATATACTTTATAATATATTTGTAATAATAATATTGTATATATATATATATATTGTAATGTTATTTATAATAATAATAACAACAATAATAATATAATGTCCTATTTTAAAATTTAGCCAGCGAGTATTTGGAGGACTGAATCCAGCAGGCAAAAATTTATATTATGTGATATAATATAATACTATTTTTTTTTAAAAGAATTGAAAATATTAAATTAGCTACTATAATTTTTTATGAATTTTCTCCAAATTATGTACACATTATGTTATACTTTTCTTTGTGAATCTTGATTTTTAATTACTGATTATTACTAATTATTTAATTTTAATTACAGATGTAGTAAATCCCAAGGAAATCCAAGATGTTGAAAGTACAGTATTATATCATATATCTCAAGCGGCAGAATTGAATCATCAACATGTAAGAGACTACATCAAGTATTTCAAGAGTTTGTCTCACATTCCTGAAGTTGTATTAGAACCTTTCATGCTTTCTGTGTTGCTCACAGTTGCATCTGTCGATGAAAATCAGGTATATATTAATCAGGTGTTAATTTATGCTTATATTTTGAATTATATTAACTCAATGTAATATTGTAGATTTATAAAATGCTGCGAGAGATCATTAATAATCGAAACGAAAATGACAATAAACAAAAAAATAGCGCATGGTTGAAAAAACTGATTCCTGATTCCTGTAGCGTAATGACTGTGATGGAAAATGTCATCAATGCGAGGTAAATGTGCAATGCATTATAAATATTTCACTATTAAATCTTTTAATCTTTTAATGTACAGTAACAAGGATCGCCATTTAGTACTGAAAGGACTTGTGGATCTTGCATTTGTTCTTATGGCTGTAGAAAATAAGACTAAAACAGGCACGCATCCTTTATGGCAAATTGGTACAAAGATACTTCAAAAGATAATGAGAAAACATCATGAAGCAGTTGCGACTATATTTCAAATGTTAATCGATAAGATAACCGCAGGTGGATCATGTATCTCTCAATATACCGGTAAGATTTTTAAATATTTTGATTATTAGTTGTTTGTAAAAGTTTTGTTCATACTTTTCATCGATCTATTAATATTTATCATTTCCAGATTGTTTAGCGTATATGTGCCGTAAGTTAACGGTTCTGATATTGGATCATCAAGATTCCATAATAATGCTTTTCGATCAAATCTCATTTATACCTGGGGAGATTGCAATTTTTATCGTTTCTGCGATATTTCCATTGGTACAAGTTTCGGTCAGTATAAGAGAACACATAATCTTAACATTGAGGAAGACTCTCTATAGAAAGGGTACATTTAATCGACAAATGGCAGTCAGTGGAATTCTAGAGATGTTGAGGAATTTGAAGATGCATTCTATGAGCGGTCTCGCGATGAGTTCAAGTCAATGTGCTAATTCGTCGTTGACTGGCACAAGTTCAACATCTATTTTGACTCAGGTTTTATTCATCACATTGTTCATAAAGTTTTGCACTTAATTTTATTCTTTATTTTTTAATCTTATCTTTTTTTTCCAGGTGATTTTGGAGAGAGGCACTCAATCAGGATCTACTTCAAGATATAATAGGTCTTTGTGTTATGATATATTGGGTATTTTGAGAAGATGTTTCACTCATGAGTGCGAAGTCCGATTACACTTATATAATGGTACGAAATTAAAAAGAATTTACCTATTTTTGCTGAAATTGAAGTAACTAAACTTTGATTTATCTAGATTTATATGAAGCGGTATTAAAAAATATGAAGATAGCGGAATACGTACTAGAAATGTTATTGCCACACTTTAAAACATTCTTTGAGGCGGATGAAAATGTTGCAGTACCAATTAAATTGGATTTATGTACAACTATACAAGGAGAGCAAGTTATATCGCAGGAACCTCTAGCGGAGCTAGTACTTATATTACAAAAGATTTATATCAAATCAGCTTTAATAAAATCATCTGTTATTGATGAATTGGCTGTTATTTTGGAATCTCTCTGCAAACGGATGTCGCAACTTGAGACAGAACATTTAAATCTGGTGAGTTTAGAAGATTAGATTTAATAAAATTTAAAATTATTTATGATTATATAACATTTTAACTTTTTTTATTTTGATAGGAGGATAAACTTGATTTAAACAACTCTAACATCAAAGTTCAAGAAAAATTGCAAAGTGTTCTATTAACGATAAAAATTTATGAGGCTCTCATATCTTTCAGAATCGGTGCCTGGTCTATAAATTGTACAGATACTGCGCAAAGTATTAAAAATTTGTTCAAAGGATATGCGAGATTCGTTGAATTTACTAAGGTAAGGAAAATGTATGTTATATATATTTTATAATTGACATCAAGCATATTTTTCTCTAGCGCGCACCAAGAGCTAAAAAGGGAGAAGGAAAAAATAAAAAGGCACAAAACGATACAAATACGACTATAAAGAAAGCTGGCCGATCGGGTAGCATAAAATTACCGCCCAGTATTATGGATCTGCCTATAATATACAAAAGTCTGATGCTCTTTTACGTGAAATCCGTTCCCTGGGCAACTGCTGACCAAGTAGCCATGTTAATAGATTATCATGAGTTTTATCTTTACATCCTGCGAATACTGCTGCAAATATTGCAGAATATTAAATTGTTGACGGAATACAATCTACGGAAACATAAAGAACAATACATGAAGACTTATTTTGAAATTGGAAAGTAAGAAATATCTTGCTTAATAAAGTATGATATTCATATTTATTTATATTTCTGCGGATTCTCCTTTTCTTTTTTGTAGATTATTGTACGATTATGTTATATTGGACTTTAAAAATATCCTCAATACAGATGAACAAGGCACAATATTAGCATTAGAATGTTTCAAAGAATTATGTTGTTTAATCTGCACTTATTTCTCTTCTGAAATATCGCACTTTCTCAATTTTATTATTCGTAAGTGTTCAAATTCAAATAAAAGAATGCATATATTCTTGTTATATTTAACATTCTTTTTACAGCTAATGAATCAACACAAACGGAAAAGCTTAACATGCAATTGGAAAATATAATTGCTATTTTATATACAAGTTTCAATGAATTCTTTAATGAGAAAGAGGAACATGAGGAGAATTCCAAACAGATACTTTGCATATTATTGGATATTATTTACCAACTGACGCGAGAGATTAATTTTTATGAAACAAATGGCGATAAAGTCAGTATTTTTATAATTACTTGTATTTGATGAAACTAGAAAAAACATGTTATTAAAAAAAAAATCTTGTTACATAAGGTGTTTGATTTGATGATGAAATTCACACAATTGGAAAATATGCATCCCCAAGCTTCTTTAACTATCTTTCAAATATTGTTGTGGATAGAACAGCGTAGTAAGGAATACGGAGAATTATTAATCGATATCACTTTTGCACTGTGCGAGAAAATGGGTAGCATCGATAAGGTGTGTATAATGTATGCTGTATATTTTACTGTAATATTTATTTTATTACTACTGTTTATAAAAATAATGAAGATAAAAATATAAGTCTTTGAATATTTATATTTATAGGCCGAGATATCACTGAATAGTAAATTCAAAATTATTCACGAGGATACAGCGGATAAGCTTTACAATTTGATAAATAATTCAATAAAAGAAAAGTTGGACCATGTATCTTGGTTGTTGGAGCGACTTAAGGCCGAGCATAATATTGCTTGCCTGCCTGGCACAGATCTCGAAAAGCGTATGTATATATCCATACTAATATCATTTGAATGCTTGCATTTGCTTTTCCATAATAATTATATAAAATTTTTAAACAAATTTTTAAATAGATCAAGAAAAAGTGAGAACGCAAGAACGCAGTTTATGCAAACAGTTGTCGCATATTATACAAATTCTTTATACATTAGCTAACGTTGCTATTCAACCAGGACTATCCACAGAGATTATGTTCAAAAATTTACAAGTCTTGTATAATCTACTTAGCAGTCTTACAAGATATTTCCATGGAAGATCTAGTAAACAAAATGCAGCGTTTCAATCAGTAAAGTAAATGTCTCCTATATACTTTACAAATTTTGTAGATAAATTTCATATGTTCTTTTTATTAAAATACGAATTTTTCGTATAATTTCAGATTTATTCAAGTTATTCAATCTGCTGGAAAACCATTAAAATCTGCATTTTATAATTTAATAACACATACCGAGGTATTTATTTTAAATGGTTTAATCTTATTATATGTAAAAATAAATGTTCGTATATATAGGAAGCTCAATGGTTTAATCTTATTGTATGTAAAATATATGTTCGTATATATAGGAAGCTCAAAATGCATCAAAATCAAAGGTTGATACACACGTACGAAGAAATAAGATTTTGAGGGAGACCAAGACTATACCCCGTGTAATATATGAAATTGAACAGTTTCACAACGAGATTTTGTCACTTGACAAAAAAACTGGCGTAAGTGCTTATCATATACTTAAGAAATTGATATATTAAAAAAAATAAATATATATGAATAAAAGTGATTGTATTTATTTAGGTTCCACTTGAGACTTACATAAAGCACAGCATAACGCGAGATTTTCGTATAAAAAATTCACAATTAACAGAAGCATTAGAAAAGATGAATATAAGCTTAGTAAGGATATGAAAAAGTACTATTTAAAATTTACTTGTTCAAAAGATTTCCTTAATTTTTATACTTAACATTCTTTATAGCTGGATACACAAACTTCTCATCGCAGCAACAACATATCTAATGCAGATATAAATGATGTGTCTATGGAATCTACAGAAATACAATCTTCAAATACATCTTTAAAACGGCCTAGGAAAAACGACTCATCCTTAAACTCATCTATGGAATCCTCGTCACAAAAACGTCCTAGGAGATCGTCAGAATCTTAAAATCATAAGTGCTTTTATATTTTAAGATTATAAATTACTTTTAATTGTTTCGATACAAAATTAATCTACATTCTATATTATATAACAAAGTTTCCTCTTCATACATGTACAGTTGATAATATGAATCGTCTACAAAGAAAAGTATGTTTATTAAATATAAATATTCTATTACAATATTGTATTACTTATCACAATTATATAATTATAATCTTTTCATTTACATATTTATATCTGTATAATGTCATCCTATTTGACAACAGGAGATATTTGAAATTGTACTAGAGACAATTTATGCGACAAAGTCCAAAGGCCTGTTGAATCCACCCTTTCTATTCATATACTGTCTGTATTTTCTTTTCAAGATGACATGAACTGCACCGACATCATTCCCATCAACTTTCTTGCCTTTGGTAGTATCAAAATCACAGAATCCCATTATTCTCATCATCTCTTGTTCCTCAGGTGTCTTACCTTGCAAGTCTGCCTCTATAATGCAAATGCACAATTACATTATTTTTAATTATATCTTGTTTTTTATTCAATGAATAAAACAATTTATAAAATTTACAATGATACAAAGCACTTTTGTATTTTTTATATCTTCCAAGTATTTAAATACCTGTGATAATGGGTCGTTCATTTGTTGAAGGTTTCGGCTTTGATCTATGTTTTGATCTATCACGTGATCTGTCACGTTCTCGTGATCTGGATCTACTGTATGATCTTCTATGTCTATCTCGCTCACGTTCTCGATCTCTGTCCCTGTCTCTAGATTTTACTCTGTCTCGTTCTACAGATCTACGAACGTACAAAAAACTTTGTTTATGAATGTTGGAGGAATGCAATAAATTAATCAAAAAATCTTTTATCAAATGCACCTTCGTCTTCTTTCTCGTGATCGCCTTCTTCGTCGATCTCTATCGCGTTCTCGTTCTCGAGATCGATCCCTTCGTCTTCCTGGAGATGGAGTACGACTTCGTCCCATTCTAGAAATAAATATATATAAATTTTTAACTCCTCATTGAAATTAATTTAAAGATGTAAGGATTGTTTAACAATAAAAGTTTAATAATGAATCATGAAAAACTTCATGAAAAACACATAAAACTTGAAAATATGGATTTTGCAAATTGAAAAGATTATCCGAATTATAAAGTAAAAATTTACTATACGAAATTTATGCGTAAGTATAAAAAGCTAAAACAAAAAATACAAAATTTGAGTTACTTACGATTATTGTTACTTCGTTATTTTCTCTTAGTTAAAAAAAAATACAAGAGAAGTTTACCTTTTTTCTTATATTATTTTATATTATTTTTCTTATTAATTTCCAAATGACATTTTTGCGCACACAAGGTTATATTCTTTAGATACAAGCAAAGAGAGGACTGAAAGCGGCTACGGCCATTGTTTTGGCATAATCAGTATGACCAATCCAAAAAAATGCACACAGATTCAGTTGCGCAGGCCATGTTTTTAGTTAAGTCCAATGAAATTTAACGCGATTACCTTGTTGTCGATTTTTGAAATATTAGATCTTCTGATAAATTGTCCACTTAAAACTCCTAAACATCAGCTAGAGGGAACCAATCGGCCATAATTATTCTAATTTAATTGCTCTAGGGATTTTTTAGGGGATTTTTTCTTTAAGTTTGCGTTTCTTTTTTGTATAACTCTGAGTTAATATATATTCTCATTGCGAACGTGTCGTTGCTTCTACTCGATCGATTTTTCATAAAACAATGACGTCGGATAATTAATTTTTATTTAAACATCGTGTAAATTTAATTTTGCAATATAAATTCGACCCTTGAAGGTTTTCTTCAAGGAAATCAAGTGTTATTTACTGGTATCAACACTGACATTTGACATTGAGGTTTGTAGAATACTCCTTTGTAGAATGGCTGTCATATTGTTTTTTATTATAAATTATTCATAAATTAGATATTACCGAAATAATTAATAGGTAGATTAGTAATTCTTTTAGATGATTGATTTTATTTGAATGATTTTTGAAATTTATTTATTGCCTCTTGACAATTCTTTGATCTGACTTGCCAATTTTATGAATTGTTTATACAGAAAGATAAAAATGGCCACTGCTCCTTTAATTTTGGTGGAAGAAGACCTAGAGCGAGGTGGCAAAGAACAATCCGAGCATGAAATACAGGATGACTTTGCATACAGAAATAACGTGCATAATGCAGATATTAAGATACGAATGGGTACAATCACAGAAATTCAAACTTAACATATGTTTATTATAAAGTACTTATAACTCTGGTAAAAACACTTGCAAGATGTTTAAGACATCGCAATATCGTTAACTCTAGGCTAGTCAATGTTCACTCTGATTATGAATCAACATTTGTTTTGTTTAGGCTTCTTGCGGAAAGTTTATGGTTTATTGAGCATTCAACTTCTGATGACCGTCGCACTAGCTTCTGTATTTGTGATAAGCTCAACTGTGAAATTATATGTGCAAAATAAGTAAGACACTTCATATATCTAATTAATACTGTTATCTAATGGAATTATGAATTAATCTGTTCATCTGTTGTTCAGTGTATGGACCATAGGTTTGGCATTTTTCTTGACAATGGCAATTTTAATTGCTTTGATGATAAAAAGGAGGGATCATCCCACGAATCTGATCCTCCTAAGCACGTTTGTAAGTACAAGAAGTAAATGATTAATTATTAATTCTTTGTCCCAATAAATGAACCTGGAAATTTTGCTTTGGAAATTGCAGACATTGGTGCAGGCGTATACTATTGGAGTTGTAGTGTCTATGTATGATACTACGGTAGTTCTGGAAGCTCTGTTTATCACACTTACAGTTTTACTCGGCTTAACTGCTTATACTTTCCAAACTAAACGAGATTTCTCGTTCTTAGGATTCGGGTGAGTATCTCTATTCTGTTTATATCCTTAAATTATCTACAGTTATTCATTTCACTTTTCATGTTACAGATTGTTCATCGGACTCTGGTGCCTTCTTATCGGCGGTTTGTTGCAAATCTTTCTTCAAAGCACCACTCTAGAATTGGTTATAAGTATTGGAGGTGCGCTATTGTTCTGCTTGTTCATTGTTTTCGACACGCAACTTATAATGCACACTCTCTCGCCCGAGGAGTATATCTTGGCGACAATTAACATCTATCTGGATATCATCAACTTGTTTTTACATATACTACGGGCGCTTGCAATCTCCAGGCAGTAAACAGTATTACCATATAAGATTCAGAGAGATTTAAAAAATACAAAAAGAACGGATTACAATTTTATTATGTAACGTGTATGTGTATATGATACACGCTATGTGCGAGTTCCAGGTCTATATAATAAGCTTATATTTTTTATCGGAATATTTTTAGCTCTTTAAAATATAGTTTAAGATGGTTTCAACGAATATGAAGAAATATTTCATGAATGAAAGAAAATTTATAAGTTTAATTTTTAACATTTTATTGTGATGAACGCAGAAATATATCAAAATTACGATGTTTCCATGGCTGCTGTTACATCTTCTGTATATTTGCCTTTATCTTTACCCAACGCAGCTAATCTGCCTTTGCTTCTCCTATCGATAATCTTTTTGCGATCCTTATCCATTTTTAACTTAACAATAACCGTCTGAAACGACAATACAAAATTAGATTTAAAGCTCTAACAAAATTGCAAGATCAAAAAGAACATGCAACAATATGATCAGAGCCAGTTTTCTGCATCAATTAAATTAAGCAAGACTCGTCAACGAATATGCAGGAAAACCCTGTATAAAGTTTCAAAGTCAAGCTATCTATCTAATTCTATGAGAATGGATTTGGATTGGTTCATCATAAATTTGAAGACAATGCAAACTTTTATATAATGCTTCTTAATTGTATTATATTATATTCTTACCTTGGAAGGATCAATACCAACGTAGACATTAGCACTGTTTGCTTTCTCACGCTGAATTCGCTCAATGTATATTACGAATTTTTTCCTGTATACTTGAACGACTTTTCCTACTTGTTGTCCCTTATAGTGCCCACGTACTACCTTTAAAAAAACAATATTGATATGCACCTGAATTTGATTTATATAATTGAAATTTTTTTGAATTGTAAACTTTAAAGCTTTAAAGCTTATTTATTTTAAAAAAGTCTGCATATTATACATATTAACATATTTTATATGTATATGTGTGTTAAAACACACACATACAAAAGTTACAAATATATTTGGCTGTATTTCATTTGAATGCTCACATACTATATAACATTATTCTTACTTTATTATTCATTATATGTTAAAGGAAGATAAAATAACATTTATAACACTTGAGCACTCAAATAAAACATAGCTGTTAAAATCACCAACAATGTCATTTTTGCTTCATCAATCATTATAATGCATTCAACGGAATGAAGTAATCAATGAGCAATCGATGATCATTTGGTTTTTTGGACTGTTAAATTTCAAAATTTAGATCAATTGTGTTGACGAATTATTCAACCATTATGCAGTCACGTCCATTGAATATAGCCAGATTTTTTTTTTTTTTTGTATGACATGGTACAGAATATCAAAATTTATAAATTTATAGTTTTAGATATAAATGATATCAAACTAGCTCTTCTCTAATCTAGCAGTGATAAAAAATTGATATAATGGTTTTAAGTGCACAATAAAACATACATACAGTCAAATGTAGGTTAAATTAAGGAAAAATCCACTCACCTGCACTTCGTCATCCTTGCGAATCGGCATCGACCGCACATTGTACTTTTGTCGTAATTCTTTAGACAGCGGTGCGGACATGAGCCGTCGTCTGATATGGGAAGGCGCAGTGAAATGCCTCTTCCTGTTCTTCCTACGCGACGAGGACACCAGACGATTGTACTTCATTTTTTTCTGAAACGAAAATTTATTGTCGCTAAGATAATTAATTTTTTTCAAATTCGTTTGCAATATCGATCTTAACGTAACGTTTGTATACAGAAGGCTTTCAAGCAAGACGCTTCGAGATGTGATGTCAGGTTATGCGCCAAATACAACGTGCCAAAGTTTACGTGAATTTCCGAATATGCAAAAAAATAAATCGCCATTCGCAAATAATGATCTCACGGATTCCTGTTTACGTAAAATATCACAATATTTCCTCTTGTTTCAGCTAGATTTCACAAGATTAATATCGATTCGACTCACCGACAATAGCTCGGTACGGAGATCTTAACCGGAAGAATAATACTACGTGAAATATACAGGGCAACAATCTCGACGAAATGCGCAAGTGTCGGTCCACAATAGGTGATTTAAGCTTTAAGAAGTAAGAAATTGACCAATTATAATCGAATATGAAAAGAATAATCGACTATGATTGGTCAATTTCTTACGACTTAAAGATTAAATACTTATTGTGGACCAATGCGTCGCACGTGACGACGAGCGATATCCACAACCAATCACTTTGTATCATACCTTCAACATTTCCGGAAAAATGAACAGCTGATTGGTCACGCGCACATGACGTATTATTCCCTAGTATTACAGATCCAAAAAACTTCTACGAAGATTGCGTTCGATATTTACTGCTAGTATTGAAAATATATAGTTCGCGTCACATAGATTTTAAATACTGGCAGTAAACATCGAAATGGGCCCGAAGTTATGTCCGCTAAAAAGCGGGATATTCAATATATATAATTTTATTTTTTAACTCTTTATTTATTAAGTTGTAATTCTATGGGTTTTTTGGGGGTAAAGAAAGCTTTGTAAAGTCGAAACGTTTATAAAAAAAATATTAAAATTGTCATTTTTATATACTATATTGCTATTAATTTAACATCATATGTGCTCGTCTAATTAATTTTTTTTTATTTATTGCTTTGCGAACTCGAGCTAAATTGTCTATTATTTGTATATATTTACTTCAATTTAATAAAAAAATTTACATTGCGAATTTATATCTTTTTTCCAATCCTTTTTACATTAACATTTAAAATAAGAAAAATAGTACTATGAAGTACTTTACATTGGAATTTAATATTTTCAAGTTAAACAAATATAAATACATCTTCAATTTCTGAAAATTATTAATATTCAAATAAGGCTAGTCAAGTCTCTCACAATAATTCTTATTTAAAATACTCCCAGTGATTCAATAAAAGCGCACGCTTTCGAAATTCATGTATTTTCAACAAATACTTACAAGTAAATTAACATGAATAATTTACATTCGCATTCGTGTCGCTGGCATAAGGAAGTGTTAATGATTTATAATATCGATAGAATCGTTTAATGATCGGCGATCTAGAAATAATATACGATATAAATGTTTTATAGAACTAATCTTGTCGTTATATAAAAGATATACACGGTATTTTTCATTGAAGAAAGGAAGAAACTTGTTTCTCAATCATTGCAACATAATATTTATACTACAGTTCCTAAATATTTAAACAATTCATCGGAATTCTATGTACACGAAACTCTTTGAATTATATATATAGCAAGATGTCTCATCTGCGCCGCATATTTTTCGGCATATTTTCATAAATAAGTTTATTGACCTACTGACATCTTTTTTAAAAAAAGAAGAAAAATAGGTTTCAAAGTAGTCGTATCCGAAGAATCCTTCAGCGGATATTCGATAAATCCAAGACATCCTATATATATATATATATATATATATATATATATATATAGCGAACGAGTTGCGGCAACAATTGATATTACAAAGCATCGATCGTCCTACGCGTTTTAGTTGAGGACATTCAAACATGGAATTATATGGATTATACAAGTTCTGTCGGATCCTCGAACGCCGTTTCAACCCTCGCTTACGGAAGACAATGAGCTACGTGTAGACTCAGTCGTATGATGTGTCAAGTCGGGAAGATCGGCCGGTAAGCATAATGGTATCGCACTTGGTCCGTAAATCGCCTCCTGCTCCTCCAATTGTAACGCGAACTGTTCTTCAAGTTTCTGTAATGCAAGAGAAAGACATTAGAAAATCTATTTTTTTCAACGTACAACATAGAAATTAATAGAATATAGATTACTTGTGCCACTAAATACAATAGCATTTAGCTTCGGACGAAAGCAACATAGATAGATAGATATCGATAGATATTATAGATTTTTATATTTACAGAATGTCTGTAGACGTGATAAAGATATCTGAATCGATGAACCGATGATATTTTACGATATTGTAAACTAACCTTGGCTATTTTGCATACAGCTTTGAATCCAACTTGTGGAATCTCTTTCTAGTTTTATTAGGATCTATTTACGGGGCAATATTTAAATAAGGATTATAACATAAATTGAATGTGTATGCTATTAAACAACCATAGTTACGGGAATCTTCAAGGAAATCGGACTTTATAAGTTATTCCGCTAAACACTAACACATAGCCCATAATAACCACATTTACCCTGTTATTTCTATAATTAAACCGTAAGAATAAGCTCTCTTATAAAGAAGCAACACAATTTATGATACAATTACATCAAAATAGACGAGACAATTACAGCGATGAAATTCTTTAAACACAATCTTAAAAACAAAATATATTTTACAAAAGTTATATCATTTCTTTAGCTGTTATTTCAAAAAGTGATCTTCCTTAATCCTAATTCAATTGGCTTCTCTGCACAGATTGTTTTTTTTTTGTTTTTATTGATTAAAAATAGATCTCAAAAGTTACGGAAATGAGAAAAACAGGGATGCTAACTACATATATGTTATGTATATCTACAATAGAATTTAAATATTACATAGACTTCGAATAGCATGAAGATCTCATTCATGCATGTTTTTTCCTTTGAAATCATGATTCACAAAAAATAAATTAATTTAATCTATATATGATTTCCGCCGCCACACATGTGTCCCGTAAACATATGAACAACATATATAGTTACTTATCTATATCTTCCTAAATTATGTTAATAATTTCTAGAATAATTGCATATATAACACAATCCATATTTTCATGTACACACACAC